CCCAATCTTAAATGAGAGAGCAACTGTAATTCTAAAAATTGAGAATTAAACCCAACCTTGAATTGAAAAACTGAAAGGGTGCAAAAGCTTATAGCCATCATATGATTTATCTAAAGGTGTTGAACAATTAATAAGATAGAAAGTAATGTTATGCATTTCTTATGATCAATATGAAATTTTAATGTATTCTAAACTAATTGTTAATGATATTATTATTATTATTTATACATTGCTTGTGTATTTCATTGAGCCTAGCTCATTAATAGTGGTTATACTGCAGGAAAGAGGAAGGAGCCAATAGAGCGTTAGACAAAAAGGGGTGACTATCGTTTTTGGTGCATATATATTTTAAGTATATATATAGGTTCAAGAGGAGGTTGTATAGCGACTTTTGGGATATGTAAATAAATTTTAAAAAGTTTTAGTAAAATTATGTATTTTTTTATTATATTTGAAGTTTAATTGAGATATATTACATACTTCATGTTGTTAAGTATAAAACTTACTATGTTTGAAGAGTCTTAATAGATTATTTTTTACTCATCTATTTATACTCTCATAACATATCAAGTTTTTACTTAATAACAAAAAACATGTAATATATCTCAAATAAACATCAAATATACTTAAAAGAAATATAGAGCTTTACTAAAACTTTTCAAAATTTATTTACATGTATAACCTCAAATTAGACCTTTATGTACACCCAAAATATATTTACACCAAAAAGGACAATCACTACTTTTGTCTAATGCAGACTCCTTCCTCTTTTCTTCAGTACAACCATTGCTAATGAGGTAGGGCTTAATAAAATATATAAGGAATGTATAAATAATAATAATAATAATAATATTAACAATTAATTTAGAGCACATTAGCATTCCACACTGATCATAAGAAATACATAACATTACTTTATAACTTGTTAAATGTTCAATACCTTTCGATAAGTCATAGGATGATTATAAGTTTTTGTACCATTTCATCTTTCCAATTCAAGATTGGGTCTGAATGCCCAACCTTTAGAATTGAAGCTGTTCTCTTATTTAAGGTTGGATCCAAATCCTGAACTTTTAAAATTTTGATAGTGTTGGCTTACATCGTCAGGTCTTTCTCCTTTAATTATGCGGGCCTATCCCCCATATATGCCATTTCTTTTTTTTAATACCATTTAATTTTAATAATCATAAATTGTGCTATTGTAGTTAATAATAAATAAATCAGCAATTATATGAATAAGCATGAATAAATAAATATAATTGCTGATTAAATTTATAAAATTTCTACTATTTTCTATGCATTGTTTGGATATCTCACATCAGTTGGAATCTGTTCTTCTACGTCATATTTTCTTATCCTTTTATACACCACCTTAATTACACATCAGTTAAAATCGGGTTGTGAAGAAGTGAAGAAGAGATTACTTTAGTCATTTTATTAGCTAGGTATTCCATTAATATTATTGAACATTTATGTATACCCAAAATATATTTACAATCACTATTTTTGTCTAATGCAGATTCCATCCTCTTTTCTTCAATACAACCATTGCTAATGAAGTAGGACTCAATAAAATATACAAAGAATGCATAAGAAATAATAATAATAATATTAACAATTAATTTAGAAGACATTGTGATGTAGAACGGAATTGATGGCAGCCACCCAAAGAAAGAAGATACCAAGGTTCATGTGGTGGTTTGTGGGCTTGAGAGGAAGTAGACATCGAGTGGTGGCTCCTTGGCGTCTGGATAACAACCCATTTCATTCTCGAACCTTTGGACAACACATAGAAAATCTGGGACAACAATTTGTGGTCTTCCAAAGTGATGGACAGCAGTTTTCCTCTTCTAGATCAGCAATTTTAGAACTTCCAAGAGGTGTGGATGCAAGACAATGAAGGAGACATTATGCTGCATTTGGAGGAAGGAGTAGAATCACTGTCACGTGGAGTTTAATGGAAGAGATCCCACGGGCAAGGCCTTGGGAAAAATCTGCTAGCAGGGATTTAAGGCAAAGATTTACTTCCAGAGAAAAAAAAGGCTGATTTTAGTAGGATTTAGGCAGTGCAGGCATAGAGGAGATTTCGGCTTGACTAAGGGCTGAAATTGGTAGTCTTTCCAAATGCATATATGGGTTTTAGGAAATAAACCTTGGCATTTATTGTAGAGGGGGACCGGCGGCTTAATGATGAGGGAGGAGATTGGGGGAGATGATTTAGGTTATTTAAATTAATAAATTAAATTTGGAATGAAAGATTTCATCCAATTTAATTTGAAATTTAAATAGGTTATGAAATAGGAAGTTACCACAAATAGGATTATAAATTAGGTAACTATTTTAAATTTAAATAGATTTGAATTTACTCATGAATAGAGTTACCTAAAATATAAAAGACTATTTTAGGAAAGGTTTAAGGGCAAGTTGGTAATGGAGGGAAAAATCAAGAGGAAAGAAAATTTGAAAACTTTCCTAAAATAGATTTTATAATTTAGGAAAGAATTTGAATTTCAAATTTGAGAAAATTTGAATTCAAAGACCAACTAAATTATAGCAATCCAAACTTAGGAATTATCCAAATTAGGCAATGGGGGATGGGAGAGGGTGTGGCCGGCGGTTTGAATGGGGCGGGTAAGGGGCCGGAGGCAAGGTGGAGATGGGGACGACGTGATGGTGGAAGTAGGGAGAGGATGAATATGACTACGAGGAGCAATAAGAAGGAACAAAAATAAAGAAACAAAATATCAAAGATACAACCGCAAGCCCGGACACATCCTGCGACCGGCGGGTACTACGTTTCCCTTCTCCAAGGGACTTCACGCCACGAGCCCGGACCCATCCTGCGGCTGGTGGAAACTCCGACTCCCTCCCATAGGGATTTCACTAACGTTCTTCCTAAAATTTCTACTATTTTCTATGCATTGTTTGGGTATCTCACATCAGTTGGAATCCGTTCTTCTAGGTCATATTTTCTTATCCTTTTATACACCACCTTAATTACACATCAGTTGAAATCAGGTTGTGAAGAAGTGAAGAAGTGATTACTTAAGTCATTGTATTAGCTAGGTATTCCACTAATATTATAATATAATAATTCCTCTTTCATTAAACCTATTTCAGCCACAGGATTCCCACTCACAACCTCCTCCAATGCTGATAGCTTTGAGTGGAAAATCTACTATTTTCACTACTGAATCAATGAATAATAAAATGATTTAATTAACTAATACTCAAAATTTTAGTTTTAATTAAATGAAAATAAATTATAAATTGATTACTTATTAATTAGTTTATGCTTACATTTATTTTTGGTATTACAATTTAGTAGTGAATTGACGATATTGGAATAACTTACTCCATATGCTTTACAAAGTTATTGTATTATGTATGCATTTTTTACTTTCGAGAAATATCTTAGTAAAGAGTGTAAACTCAATATATATTGGTTTTTTGAAAGTTGGTAGAATAAAGAAAATTCCACATCTTCTTGATCTAGTCTTAAAATATGATAGTCGAGGCAATTGAAGATTCAAGATTATTGATCAATCAGGGAAGAACGACATAGTTGGATGCTTTCTATCGAGAAAATTTGATGGTGCCAACGCCATCTAAAGGAGAGACATCAATATAATAGCAATTGACATGAGATCAAAAAATCAAAAGACCCTCCCCTCAGCCGCGAGAGATAATTAATACCCATTAAAGTAGATAATGGTGCTGATAATTGATGAGATTTTAAAGTCATTGAGAGGAGATAGAGAAGCTATGATATTATAAGCAGGGGGGATGGAGAGAGGAAGTGATTGTCTTAAGCAATGATGCAAGAAGTGCTTGTCTCCTAAGTAGTGAGCCAACATCGATGAGGGTAGTAGATGGCAATGGTAGAGACAACATACATATATAAGCGTAAACACTATAGTTATGAGCATAAATGGGAGTGCGTAATTAGTAGCGTAGTTTTGAGCTTGGGTGTATGTAGGAGTACGTGAAGAGTAGCAAGTGAGCGCTAGAAAAAGGGTCATAGGAAAGTGCGGGGGTGTAGATGCGTGGTAGGGTTGAGGGAGAATGCAAGTGTAGAGTCAAGGGAAGTCATGTGACAAAGGGTTGTGGGTGAGAGTTTGGATTGAGCAACAAGTTTGGGAGTAATTGCTTTAGGACCTGGGATCGAGTAGTAAAGACACATGGGATGGGATCAGGGACTCATAAAAGGTTAGCGGAATTGGCGTTGTGATTTTAGGACGAAGTAGATGGGAAGGTTCTCCGTTCTCTGTTAACATTATAATGTCGATGAGAAAAAGGTTGTGTCATATTTATTCTATATGGATCCTTTTTATTTATAAGAGGGGAATGAGTAGAATGATGTAGGGCATGCCTGAGTAAACATTAGCTACTCTACAAATTTTTTTCTTATATAATATTTCTCTAGGTTTAATACATGTTATTGGAAACCAGTGCACCTATTAATTCTTGAATGACATACATTTGTCATTTTATTTGTTGTGCCTTTGTTTGCTAAGCAACAAGTAAGAAGGGAGCTTTGCGATTTCATGTGCTCGTTCTTCTGTTGTGCATTTTTTCTGTAAAATTCCATGACATTTAATTATTGATGATCAAAATAATATTTCACTGTATTGTTTATAGGCTATTGGGGATATCCTTTATCTTGTTGTAAATGTTTGCCAAGAAAGAATTGTCAGGATACCAAATTACTGATATATAACGGAAAATTTGGAAATTGATAAGTATTTGTAAAATAATTTGAAGACTTTAGTTCATCCGTACCTTTGCACCTTTGCCTTCTTAATGTGATTGTAATTCAGTTGAAATATTATTGAATAGTTCACAATGTCTTGAGTTTTGAGAGAATTTTTCACTATTTATGGTTAAAAGGGGATTTTGTTTTTCGCATATACCAAGGTCACGTATTGTAGACAATGTAATGACCATGCTTCATGCATAATTGACAATGTTTTGTGTATATTCCTCGTTTGTTTCAACAGTTTTTCAAGAGCTATTGTGACAACCTTTGCAAAGTTGATTCCACAAAGTGGATTCGTATGAAGCTTCTCATTCTTCTTTTGCGTTTAAATGAAGAATCGCAAGTTGTCTGGAAAAAGCTTCTTTTCCATGGTAAGCCTATGGCTGGGACAGAGCTTTTCATGGGAAATTTGGATGAATCATCTGTTATGGAAACTGTTAAGGTTTCAAAAAAAGTTACCGGGCATTTTCTTCTTTTAATGGTATGTTTGAATGATTCTTTGCTCATATATCATTTTTATGCATTCTAATGAGCTTTTGGTGTTCAACTTTCTCACGTCTGATATTCTATTTTTGGTAATCAGTAGTTTTTCTTTGTTGAATTCAGGATGAAGTTGCTTCATATGCGAGACTAGTTTTGCCCATATTCTGGTCAAGTTCTGTAGTTAAGGACAATCCGTTACCATCTTCTGTGAGAGGAAAGCTTGGAGGTCCAGCTCAAAGGCGATTAGCTATCCCTACAACTACTGCTGTATTGCATTCTGTATGTATCTGAATGTTCATATTGATGTTTCTATATGAAATTTCCTGCCATATAGTTATTTTGAAAAGTTTTTCTATTTTGGGCTGTATCTGGCAAATTATGAGGGGAGATTATTATTATTTTTTATCTTGTGTAACATATGATTAATGCTACATTCCCAAAAAATAATCTACACAAATAATGATTTGTCTTCCATCCTTATAGATGGACCAATCAATTAGGGAGTGTCATCCATTTTTTCTTGGAAGAATTTTTATTCACCTCATCAAGTACTTGTGTGGCATGAGTTTTTGTGTAACTTCTTTTGTGCAGTATGTATTTCTCTTAACAGATTTTCGCGCTAAAGTTTTGTTAGTAACATTGTTATTAGGTTAACCAAGATAAGTTAATATGGTTATTATAATGATTTTCACCAGATTAATAATGTAGTTTTTTTTGTTAATAACATTGTTATTATGTTAACCAAGATAAGTTAATATGGTTATTATAATGATTTTCACCAGATTAATAACGTTGTTTTCTTTACTGATATCTCCTTTACCAGTGGTACATCTTATTCAGCCATTTTCTTGTAAGCAGCTTCATGTGCTTATACCATTAATTTGATTTTAGAGTTCGAGGACAAAAATGTTTAACTTCTGGATTGGTATCTTTCCAAAATTTAATATTTCTTGAATTTTTTATTCTATATTATTGGTAGGGAAATGCGACTTTATATGAATCATATTACACATAATTGAAGAATTATTTTTCTATTTGTTTTCTTGGAGAAATATACTTGAAAGTTCATTTTAGATGAAATTACATCTAAAGAGGGATAAATTCTTGTATATGCGAAATGCTTTTTTGAAATCGAGGAGATTAAAATTGGTTGGAACATGTTTGTATTTGAACATGCTTCGAACTGAGGTTCAAATATGATTTTAAACCCAAATTGGAATATAATTCGAGCAAAGTTTGAATCTAATGCTCGAACCTCATTCAAATCTTATTTAAACCTTTATTCGAACTGAATTCAGACTATGTGCTACGTCTTATTTAACCATTTTCTTTTGAGCAGCTGCATATGTTTATACCATTGATTTGATTTTAGAGTTTTGAGGACAACAATGTTTTTAAATATGGATTGGCATCTTTCTAAAGTTTAATATTTCTTGAATATGAGATTCTATAATATTGGCAAGGAAATTTGACTTTACATGACTCATAATGCACGTAATTAAAGAAATATCCCGCTATTTATTTTCTTATGGATCTATACTTGAAAGTTCATTTCGGATGAACTTGCAGCCGAGCAGGGATAAACCCTTTGTTTGTGATCCCCTTTTGAAATCATGGTGATTGAAATTGGTTCGAACATGATTCGAGCTCAAACATGATTTGAAGCCTAATTGGAAACAATTCGAACAAAGTTTGAATCTATGTTTGAATGTTATTAAAAAATTATTTGAACCTTTGTTCAAACTAATTCCCACTAGGGATTTTGTCACTAACTTTGATTCTCTTTCACACATCACTAGATCTTCTTAATGCCGGTTCCCAATCTTCATGAAACCCCCTTATCCTTCATACCCCACTAATTGATTCACTCTATAGATTTGTTAGACAGGTCCAGCCGGTCCATTCGGGACCGACTTGGGGGCAATAGAGTCAGAGAAGTTCTGCCTCCTGCATATGCCGATCAAACCTCATAGTCCAAAAGAGTAGATTATGAAGGTTTTAGGAGAAGTTTAGGAGGGAAATTTGAATATAGGGATTGTTTAGAGATTTCCTTTTGGATTATATGCATTAAATAGTTTGTTTTCCTAGGGTTAGGGCATCTTGAATTTGGCTGAAATTTGAGATCTCTCTTAGGTTTTGCGCTCTAGCGGCGTCTAGAGAATTGGGAGAGAGAGATCCTCCTCTCGAATAGAGGATCAATTGTATCTTGGTATTTTCCGTTTACATTTCATCAAATAATACAAATTATCTACCATTTTCTTAGTTTTGTGTGGATTTTTGTGGACAATTCTCGCTGTTTTTCAAAGATTGATAAGAATTACTTGAGATCTACAAGTGTCTTATCAAATTAGTATCAGAGCGGTTTCCAGACTATTTTTGGGCTATTTTTAGAGAATTTATCCAGCTGTTTTTTCTATTTCATGCCAGATTTTTACTGTTTTTGTGGTGGAAAGAATGATAGAAGTATTAGAAGGAGAGATCAGACAAATGAAATATGAAAATTGAGATCTCGAAACTCAAGTTTTAGATTTAAAAAAGGATATGTAAGTCATCTATAATAAGATCGATTCAAAATTTTTCATCCCAGAGGGGACGTTGAAGAAAGTGCTCAAGGGCCAAATCAAAATATCGCTGTTGGAGGTGATAAAAGGCGCCGATAGTCAGGGAAGTGGAAAAAACCCTAAGTTAATAAGAGGAAGAGAAGATCAAGAGGTGGAGATTTTTGAGGGAACAAAAAAAAAATGCCTCCCTTAGGGCTTATACCTAGGGAGGAGTTAGGTAGAGGCTATGGAGAGAGGTTGGAGGAGGTAGGGAAAGAACGAAGAGGTGCTGATTTGGAGAAGAGAAGGGCGGGATTTAAAAAGGAAAGGGGTAATTATGACCAAATGGGGTTTGAATTTGAAAGGGGAGGGGTTTGTTATTATTCAAGGGGTGCTGAATTTGAAAGGAAAATGTGAGAATTTGATGAAAGGCTTGGGTATGAACATAGAAGGGATGATTGGGACACTTGGGAGGAACCACCCCTTGGGTAATGGGAAATTATGAAGGGAGTAGAGGCAAAGGCGATCTGAGGGTGAGGAAGCTGAAGTTGCCTAATTTTGAGAAGTGGTTGCCCATGGGTGGATCTACAAGTTGAAAGGTACTTTACCGTCAATAGGTTGACGGAGGGGGAGAGGCTACGACAGCCAGGATGTGCTTGGAAGGGAAGGCTTTAGCATGGTACCAGTGGAGGGGTACGAGACGAACGATACAGACCTAGAGAGAGTTTAAGGACTGCTTGTTGGAATGTTTCTAAACTAGCAAGGGAGGGGACTTCTATGAGCATTTCTTCGTTTTGGTGCAGGAGAGGGCAGTGGTGGAGTATGCTGAGCAATTTGAGTTACTTGCCAGTTGATTGAATCGGCTTCCAGAGATTGCACCGGAGGAGAACTTTATGAAGGGACTAAAACCAGAGATCTAAGCAGTGGTTAGAGTGATTAGGCCTCGTGACTTGGGAGAGGCTATCTGGCTATGGAGCTAGCTCAGTTGGTGGAGGATCATAGGCACCTAGAAAGAGGAACAAGAGTTTGCAACTTAGGAGGCTCGTATAGGATGACCACCACCTTATTGACATCCAAGGAGTCAACATCGGATACTCTTTGGGGGACTTTGAAGGATAAGATTGCAGGAGGAAGACCTGGGGACAACTTAAAGAAGCTCACGGAAACGGAATTACATGAGAAGAGGGCGAAAGGGGTTCTATTTCAGATGTGACAAGAGATATACGTTAGGACACAGTTGTAAGGACCGAACTCTTCAGGTTCTTATCATTTTTGATGACGAGGGAGTGGAGGATGGTGTTGTCTTTCCACCTTGCAAACAAGGTGGGTGTTTGGGAGGGGAGTATTGTTAGACCGGTCCAGCCAGTCCATACGGGACCAGCTTGCGGGCAACAGAGGCAGAGAAGTTCCGCCTCCTGCATATGCCAATCAAACCGCATAGTCCAAACGAGCAGATTAGGAAGGTTTTAGGAGAAGTTTAGGAGGTAAATCTCAATGTAGCTGTTTAGAGATTTCCTTTTGGATTGTATACATTAAATAGTTTGTCTTCCTAGGGTTAGGACATCTTGAATTTGGTTGAAATTTGAGATCACTCTTTGGTTTTGAGCTCTAGCGGCATCTAGATAATTGGGAGAGAGAGACCCTCATCTTGAATAGAGGATCAATTGTATCTTGGTATTTTTTGTTTACATTTCATCAAATAATACAAATTATCTACCGTTTTCCTTGTTTTGTATGGATTTTTGTGGATAATTCTCTCTGTTTTCTAAAGATTGATAGGAATTACTTGAGATCTACAAGTGTTTCCTATTAGGATTCCCTCACGAACTCCAATTTTATGCTCATCATTGGATTCTCTCGTTGTCGGTTCCCGCAGTCACGAACTTTGCTTCTCCTTCATGTGTCAGATCACACTAATGCCATTTCCTAGAACTCTCCTTCTCCTTTACATGTCATTGAATATCTTTGATGCTTGTTCCCTTCTACTTTACATGTCATTGGATCCCGCCAATGTCACTTCCTAGCCATGAAGAACTTCTGTTCTCCTTCAATCTTTGTTGATTTTATTACACTTCTCCCTTACATGCCGTCGAATCTCGTTGATGCGTCTTCTTTGCTCCTTCTTATTTCATCGGATCTCGTCAATGCTAGTTCCTTGTCGTCATGAACTTCCATTCTCCTTCACATGCTACTGGTTGTGTTTATATTTTGCTCTCTGCCCATCATGAACACCTATTATCCTTCTGGCGCCACTAGATCCCATCGATGCTCCACCCTCCAACCATGCAAAAACTCCTCTCCTCACATGCCACCAATCTCGTGCAAATAGGGGCATGAGCTCTTTGCGATGTTCTAACCTTGATTCAAATCACATTAATTGCTAAGTTTGAATCAATTAATTGCTAACTTCAAAGAGCAATTCGAGAATACTAGAGATTTTCTCTCATTAGGGATAATTTCATCTGAAATAAGCTCTTGTTCATATTTCTCTAAGCAAACAAGCAACAGAGATATTCCAATTTATTGCGTTATGAGTCGTATAAAGTCAAATTTTCTATTTGCATTAGTAATTAATCATTTAATGATTTATGATTCTTGGATTTGCATGTTGCGTCTTTATACATGAGAAATACCATATCCCTAAAAAAAAGTATCTATAAACTCAGGCCACCTGAAAAAGTAAACCTCAACTGATTATTTTGTGTATTTTTTTGGGATCGTAGCAATGCTCATTGTGAATGTATGTAGCATGATGTTTTTTTTTTGTGGGTGCATCACATTGGTCTTGGTCATTTTATTTGTTTCTATTGTTTTGTCAATCAGATTCTGGCAGTGAGGACCTTTGCTAGTATTGTATCAGTTTGTCCTCGGATAAAAAGAGACATCTGGGATTGAAAACAAACATGTTTTGGATATTGAAATAATGCCTTGTTAACCGTCATGCATGGGATTCGATTACCCCTCTTTTGACATGAAATCAGTCCCATTTCTATGTGTTTACACTGTCAAATCTTATTGTGTTGGCTCAATTGATAGATGCATGCCTCATCTGGCTACTTGAGCTTTTACTCAAGTCTGTAGGAGTGATTACCTTAACACTATTCTCCAATCTCCAGTTGGTGGGATAAACTCCGTCCAAATTATTTTGTCTATTGCCCTCAATCAATGTTGCCCATTACGTAAGTTGGTGTGAGAAATGCCTTCCTCTATGATACTCTCACTAAAGCTACTTTTATGAATCAAACAAAAGGGTATGTTGCTCGGGGGAGATTTGGTATGTGTAAGCTCAATGAAGCTATCTATGGGCGAAAGCAAGTCCTTGAGTTTTATTGTCCAAATTTTACTGAGTTATTGTTGATGTTGGCCTTTGCAATTGCACAACAAATCATTCCACTTCATCTAGCTTTGTTATGTTAGCAATCTGTGCATATTACATTATGCTTATAGGAAGCGATAAAAAATGGCTTACAACATTAGAACATTATCTCCAAAATGGTTTAAGTTATCCCAAATACTTTTTGGGAATAGAATCTGTCTATAACAAAGGTCTTTTCTTCTATCAAATAAAATATGCATAAATGCTCTTTAGGAAATTGGTCTTTTAGGTTGTAAGTGTACTGATACTCGCATTGTCAATCAAAATGATGCTTAAAAGGAAATTTTGAGGGTGCCTATTGTTATTGTAAGTTGGTAAGTAAATTTATTTATCTTGTTGTTGTTATATATATATATATATATATATATATATCTGCAAATACTCAAATATTTCAAGAAATCGCCAAGGATTGCATACTAAGAATGGACACTTTAATGTGGAAGACATCTTTGATGCCGACCATGTTGGATCAATTGATCATAGAAAATTTATATTTTGGTGTGCTGCATATTTTTGGAAGGTAATTTGTTCACATGGGAGACTAAGAAATAAATCATGGTGGTTAGATCAAACACTTAGGCATATGACAAAGCTAGAATATACTCTACATGTGAAATGATGTTGGTTAAGACCTTCTTTGAGGAATTTGGTTTTTCAGTTGCATAATGTATTATCTTAAATTATAACAATCATGCTATTATCTACATTCTAGTAATCTCATGTTCCCTTAAAGAACCAATCACGCTGAGATTGATTATATGTGCTCCTATTAAAGAAAATTGTACTGCTTATGTTCCAAACTCAGAGGAACTAACATATATTTACAAGTCTTTTGGTCCACTTCAATTTTCCAAACTATATAGCTAGGTAGAGCTCCTCAATATGCTCCAGCTTGAGGGGAACTGTTAGTGCCAGCATATTTTTGAAAAGTTTTTTTAATAGTTGGTGGATTATTGATGTAGAACTAAATGCTTTGAATGGCTGAAATAAGAATTTGCACGATTATTTGATAAAAGCAATTAAGATTAGAACTACTAGTAAATCCAAAACGATCAAATAAAACATAAGAGTGGTTACTTCCGTTTAGACTAAGTTGCATACTAAGCACTTGGATTATCAAATCAACATAGAAAATCAAGTCATGCAAATAAAATAGCTTTCAACAGAAATCCGTAATCTAACAATAAGATTAGAAGCAAATAAAAAGTGCACTCAATCCTACGTTTACTAGGCTTTGACGATGGCGAGATAAAACCCTACGTTTAGTAAGCTTAGACAAAAGGCGAAACTCGGTTCTTGGGATTCGTCATCACCTACAAGTTTGTCATAGGAGAAGTCTTATTCTGTGTCCGGG